TACATAGGCACTTGGGATAAAGGAAAATCAAACGCCAATTTCAAAATTTGGTTTTGCGCATGCGCAGTGCCAACTTTTTTATTTATGGAAGAATTTAAACGAAATTTGATACATAAGCACTTCGAATAAAGGAAAATCAAACGCCAATTTCAAAATTTGGTTTTGCGCATGCGCAGTGCCAACTTTTTTATTTATGGAAGAATTTAAACGAAATTTGATACATAGGCACTTGGGATAAAGGAAAATCAAACGCCAGTTTCAAAATTTGGCTTTGCGCATGCGCAGTGCCAACTTTTTTATTTATGGAAGAATTTAAATGAAATGTGATACATAGGCACTTGGAATAAAGGAATCATCGAGCGCCAGTCTCAAAATTTTCTTTTGCGCATGCGCAGTGCCAACTTTTTTATCTATGGCACCATTTAAGTGAAATTTGATACTTAGGCGCTTGGAACAAAGGAAAATCTAACATTAGTTTTAAAATTTAGGTTTGCGCATGCGCAGTTCCAACTTTCTTATTTAGAAAAGCATTGAAATGAAATTCTTCTCATAAACTGAAATTGAAGTAACACGTAAAAAATGGATTGCCCATGTGCAACGCTATCTTTCATATTTGTGGCCGGATTTTTACGATTTTAACAGAAGTTGCATCTTACAAATGAGAAATGAATGCAAGTGGAAATGCGCTTTATGTAAATCGTTTACGATTACTTTTTAACTTGTTTTATTATTTTGTTGTTTATTTATTATTTCTCGAGGTATAGCGTCAATAGAAGTAATTTTGAACCATTAGTTGAGTCGATTCTTATCTGAGATCATTATTTTCAAATAGGATTTCCTAATTCATTTTTTTAATGTAAATTTACGGAAATTTTAGACTATAAATTTGATTTAAGTGAATTTGAGTTCCTGATTATTGCAAAAGTTATGGAAAATATATACATACAGTAAATAAACTGCCTTTTGGAAAGCAAAGGTCATCAAGATGTAGGTCCTCTCCAGTATGTGTAGTTAAAAAAAGATAGTACGCATAGATTCTGCGTCGACTACCGACAGCTGAACACGGTAACAAAAAAAGACGCTCTACCGTATGTATCGACCATTCTTGAATAATTGAATTGAAGACGCCTATTCTTTACCTTATGTGTCGACCATCGTTGAACAATTCCGTGACTCAAAATATCTTAGCTCGACCGGTATAAAATCTGCTTAGTGGCAGGTGCCTCTTGCCGAATCTGGTAGAGATTTGCATAGGTTTCGTAGAATGCCCTTTGGTTTAACCAATGCGCCAGCCACGTGGCAACGTAGTTTTTTATCTATCGCCAGAAGTCTTGATTCTTTTATTGCAAGAATTCTGCATTTATTAAAATGCTGATATTTTTCAAATTCAATTTTTTTTTATTTTTTGGTTCTACAAAAAATACTTCGTACCGTTTATTGTGAAGGAAAACACTTGGCGCTAGTTTCAAACCATTCTTTGTCATTTTTTGATGTTACAAATTTTAAAGAATATGTATTTATGATTATAAATTGTATTTACAATTTCTGTAAGAATTTCTAAATTCAAAACAAACTTTTCCAAAGAAAGAGACCATTTAAGAGATTTTTTATAATTTTTGAAATTGAAAAAATTTCATATTGTGAGTTTTGGAAAAAAATTGAGTGACGTAATCCCGTAAATCTGCCAATATATAAATTTTGTTATTATTATCGAAGAAACAAAATGATTGATCCCTGAAAATAAATGTGAAGATATCTTGGATTTTTGGAATTTTAAATTCAAAATAATGTAATTAAAGTTAGGTTCCCAGAATTCAAGTCTTGCATAAATTCGAGATTCAGAGAAAAGTTGTCAACACATTGCTAAAAATGTTGAAAATAAGAGATCAACAACTTTTATGCGTTGCTTTTTATTTTGTCGAATACTGTACTGAATTGCTGCCGAGATTGCTGCGTTCTTTAAAGTTGCAGTAAACATGAAGTTTATGCTAAAATTCTGTTGATTAAATACAATGACCCCGATCTAATCTCCGGAAGGAAGCACATAAAAATGACAATTAAAAATCGTTTGCGTTTGCTCGGTCAATATTTTTACAATTAAATCTAGAAAAAGCCAGTCTTTAGGTTTTTAAAATCGTATTTTTTGTCTGTCCGTCTAGTACTGCTCAAGGCCGGAGAAAGATTGCTTAATATTCTGTTTTTGTCTGGAGGCTGGGACGAATTCGTAGACCTCCACTCGGATCCTTTTTTTGTTTGGAAATTGAGTCGAGAAAACTTTGACCCTCAAATTCAACGTTTCTCTACTGCATTCTTCGAAAGCTTGTGGAATTGGCAATTTTTCTGGTCAATTACAAAAGTGGTACACGCTAAAATGCATTTTATATATTTTATCAGATTACTGCTGTAATAGGAAGTGCACTGTTACGCTTCTGTAGGCGCACTACACATTTATTGAATGAACAGTTTCATAATGTGTATGTGAAATTGATATTGGATGTTATATCATGTCTGGATTTGCCTACTTATTTATGGGCCGTAATATCACAATCGTGGGAAATGATACACGCGATCAATGATTAACTCGATGCGGTAAAAAAAAAATTCCTACTTTCAGGATCCAATTTAGAGCGCTTTTATTTTTGACAGATTCATGAATTTAATAAACTCGTACCTTTGTCTGTTTACACATTTAAAATTCCAAAGACGATATTTTACGCTTGAAGAAGCCGATTAATAATTCATCGTCTGGCTTTTAAACGCACGTTTTGTTCGTTGTCTTATTGTTTTACATCCCATTCAACAAGTAGGGAAGTGCCCATGGCGCGATGAACTTAAAAACTACTTGTTACGAATACAAAGTTTGCGTGCAAATTTCATGAATGAAAGCGGGCGCGATGACGATAAAGGGTCATTAGCACCTCTGACGAATAGGCACAGCCACAGGTCGATCCTTAAATGCTTAATTATCGAAATGTGTTGATGACATAGTCTAATTATAGCACAAGTAATTTGAGAACAAATTCCTTTTGGAGATAAAAGGACAAGATCTTTCTTATACTTTGAAGTTTTTGTTATTTTTGAGTCATATTTGTATTTTTATTTCGATATACGACTCAATACAAAGTACAATAGGATCGCGCTCATTGCCCTTATACAGGGATTCACGTGTATTATTTTTCCATATGTCTACTTTTAAATGACTAAATTCTTCTGAAGGGCGCCTAATTTTATGCACCCATGCTTTGATTTTAATTAATTTGAATGTCGTCACTTTGGCTTCACAGAAAATAAATCTCTTACGCTCCTTAAACTGTTACCGGCACTATACCAATAGACAATATCAACTTTTTCAGTTGAATACATCGCATACGAACGGAAAGTCAAAGCAACAATTTTCAAATTAATTATGACAGCCAAAATTTTATTTGTTTTCAGAAGTTTGGTTGCATAAAATTAGACGCCCTTTACATACAATTTAAGCATTTTTATTAACTTAATTAATCTCATTTTCCCAATATTTGAGGTTAGGAATGAGATTTTGAAAAACGGTTTTCACGGGCCTCTTTGTATGTTATTTGGCTACTTTTTCTTTAAAGAAAAAGTCATATCATTCCATTTGATTTTTTTAGGATTTTGGCTCGTATGTTGGGTCATAGTGCCAAAACTAGCCCCCTGGCGGAGAAGACTAAGTTCACTATAATTTGATTCTTATTGCCCAAGGAATGCTCTTTTCAGCGATACCAAATTTGTTAAAATCGGTTAAAGTTAAACGGTTAAGAAGTTAGCACGGGGTTATACAAAAACAATTGAACGCCCCACACCATCTTTGTTTTTGAAATAACTGAGTTTTTGTTTTTACGAAAATGATAGATAAACTGGTTCTCTTTTTCTCTTTTTAGTTTATTATGCGAAATTAAAAGAAAATGCAATTTTAAAATTTAAGGTGGCAGTTACGCCCTCTGTTGGTCATATTTAGAACTTGAAAATATTTTCCAGCGATTCTTCATGACCGATTTACCCAATAATTATTTTTACCCCTAAGTCATATGACGAACTGTTCTCGAGACATGGCCGAAGAACAGTCTTATTGGTTCACCCGGTATATGCGAGTGCTCAATCCGTCTGATGAATGATTTAAACGATTGTCATTAAATAGGTGCTAGACCAGTGGGAGGAGGCTATTAGAATCCAGGGTGCAACAGCCTCAAAGCTCTAGTATAAAGAGATCCATCCTATCTTTATCTTTAACTTTAATCTTATCTTTTGTTTGTAACAAGTCAGGAGAGGGGGAACAGTTGCAAATATTAAAATATTCAAATTTTGTAACAATTCAAAACAAGATTTGAAGATGCGATTTTCAGTAGCATTCGGAAACGCGACTTTTAATTCGGCTCATATTCAATATTGAAGGCGAAGGAAGGGAATTTTTGTTCTTTCGAATGAGAGGGCAGCCTAGGTCAGTACAAAATTAGATTAACAAGCTCTTGAAATTGACCCAAATCAAAACGTCTCGGAATTTTGATATCTTTATTTGTTTACGTTACGGCGGTGTCTTTGTGTACAAAGGACCAGATTTGTGGTTATCTCGAAATGGTAACCCGTGTTTGCTCTTATCTTTCTCCACGTTGCATCGTCAAAACATAACCTACGTCACATGCTTCTCCGAAGTGAAATATTTTACTTTTTTTTCAAACACAATTTATCGTGGACCGATAAGCATCGGTCACGAGAACCGTTTAGTGCGTTGGTTGCGTGTTGTAATTCTAGTATGATGAGCAAGAAAAAAACAAAATTAAATATTGATCCTCATATCGTTCTGACGTACAGAATGTTTGGTTAGGCTTGGCATTTTTATCCTCATTTTTGAAAACAACAGCTATTGTACAATTGACGTCATTACACACACAACCAGTTGCTAATTTGTACAGTACGAGATTCAGAAATTGAGCGTTTCCACCTTCTACAGTTTTATTTGTGGCAAGTCGGATGTAATGCAATTCCTAAAGCCTCGCCGCGCCGTTATGATTTAGATGAGAAACCGAACCTGTCTCTAAAGATAGCAGTACGACATTCAATACTGCCATAAATTCACCCGTCCTAATAAATTAAAGATGAAACAGTTCGCGTGTCCAATATCCTCAGATTAAAGATTCCATCAACTGAAACGTCCTGGGATTTTCCCTTCCCGTCGATAAAAATAGATAGTGCCACTACTGAATTACTCCCTCATATGTTTTCGGCTTTTCAGATTGTACGAGACGCCTTATCAATAGCTATCACACCGCACACGTATTTTAGGGGCCAAAGTTTTGTGCATAAATAAAAACGTTACCTACGCATTCGGCTTAATTTTGAGTGATTGAAAGATTAAAAATAGCTTTAAAAGCAGAACTAAGTGTACTCCCACATTATCCTGAAGGTCGTACGAAAAACATTTCGAACTAATCGCTTAGTAATCGATGATTGTTTTTAAATGCGTAAATTTTAACCTTCGTATTACCATTGTATTTATAAACGTTTATAAATACAATGGTATTACTAAAGCCATTACGGGATCGTACTTGTATTTTTCGTTAGTACCGACATCCATAGTTTTAGGTTCCTAGCATCATAGCGTCTGCATGTATGTGCGTATGTACAAGTACAGGGTGGTCTAAATTCGAGACTCACCTTTGAGAACTCTGTAACGGTGAAAGATACAGGTTAAATGCGTCAATTCTGCGAATTTTGTAAAAATCTTTGAAAATAACCGAGATATCTCCGAAAAACAGAAAATCGGCCCTGTGATGTATCAGAAACGTCAAAGAAAAAGTCATATCATTCCATTTGATTTTTTTAAGAATTTTCATTCATCATAGTGTCAAGACTAGCCCCCTGGCGGAGAAGGATTAAACTAAATTAACTATATTTTGATTATTATTGCCCAAGGAATGCTCTTTTCAACGATACCAAATTTCTTAAAATCGGTTAAACGGTTAAGAAGTTAAAGAGGTTATTTCAAAAACAATTGAACGCCCCACGCCATCTTTATTTTTGAAATTTGTTTTTACGAAAATGATAGACTGGTTCTGTTTAAAAATGTTTATTATGCGAAATTTAAAGAAAATGCAATTTTAAAATTTAAGATGACAGTTACGCCCTCTGGTGGTCATTTTTAGAACTTGAAACTATTTTCCAGCGATTCTTCATGACCCAATAATTTTTTTTACCCCTAAATCATATGCGAGGTCATATGACGAACGGTTCTCGAGATATGGCCGAGGAACAGTCTTATTGGATCACCCGGTACAGGTTAAACATTTTGTCTAGGACTCTAGGCTCTAGAACACTAGATATCTTTTAAAACAAATTTGTTTAAAGAAGCTTTTTAAAATTATAAAAAAAATTTGGTACCAATCTACGTACTTTAAATTTGTACCCAGTGGCGTACTTTTTTGTCAAGGGGGTAATTTTTAACACTACTAGTTTTCGTTACATATTCTTAAAACAGTACACTTTTTTGGATATGGCCAGTGGCAACATAAGAAACTTATTTTAGTAGTTGGATCATGTTTTTTGTTGTTGTCATATTAAAACAAAGGTTCATTTCATCTCACGAAAAGAAGTGCTTTTCATTTAAAATTCATTCTGTGAACGCACCCCACTGTAAATCATTTTTAAGCAGATGTACATAGAAATGTTTAACTTAAATTGTTTTGACATAACTTAACAAAGGAATAACGTTTTTTAACGCAAACTAATGAAACTATAAAATTAATTAACACAACTATTTTCTTTAATTTGAGTTTTTCTGTTAAATTTAATTATGTAATAAAATAAGTTTTTTTG